GCTTAATCAGCGTTTTTTTTTGAACGAATAGAATTAATTTGTTTGTTAATTTGGCGGGTTTTTAGTGTTCGCAAATATTCTTTTTATTTTTTCGCACAAAGATGTTTTGAGAACATTCAAGTTTATGTTTCCATGTATGTCCGTAAAAAAAAAATTCTTTGTTTCGTACATAAACTTAAATGTTCTCAAAACAACTAAAAAGCCTGGCCAGTTTTACGCAACTAAATAAAATTTCCGTGGTCAGTATTCGAGAGCGATCGCTCCCGCTTCCCGACCAAGGCTGATTCACCCACATTCACTTAGGTAATTCTGATCATGATTTGATCTCTCTAAAACTATTATCTCATTCTTCTTCATCATCATAATCCCCCTATCATCATACCTCTTACAATTACCTCAAAGGTGACTAGACCTTTTTCCCTGATTTTCTTTGTGATGGCCCTTGGGTAGAAATCATTTGTCTTCCTGCTGACAAATGTGCTTCTTACATAACTTCTTGGATTCAGGCCGGCATAAAATCTTTTATTTAATCTCAACAATTCCAAGTCAAGCCATACTCTTCTCCATAGTTTTCTTCACATTACGCTGTTGCAATTGCCAATCAAAATTGTTACTTCCATATCTATCAGCAAAACAATATTCCAGAAAACAGACATCTGTTTAATATTGCTAGAAACTGTAGTGAAAAGGCATAGAATCTTTTATTTAATCTCAACGATTCCAAGTCAAGCCATACTCTTCTCCATAGTTTTCTTTACATTACGTTGTTGCAAACAGACATCTGTTTAATATTGCTAGAAACTGTTGTGAAAAGGTTTTGTCTAATGCTTAAGTCCACTATTCTCATGTCATGAAATCTCATATTTCATCTCAAAAATTAGGCTCTTGTGACTTCCAGAGAATCTTTAACCATATCAATAAGAAGGGCAAATCTGTTATTCCACCTCTAATGTGGAAGAGAGGTAGAATAACAGGTTAGATTTTGTCACCTCACCTAAAAACAAAGCTAAATTATTTGCTAAGAACTTTTCATCAAGATCATCTCTGGATCTCAGTAGTTGCATTCTACCTGATATAACCAACAAACAGATTGATCCATTGCTTGACATTCTTATCACTCCAGCTTCTGTATTTAAAGTGATTTCCTGCTAAGACTGCCTCTACAACTTGTGGTCTGGACAACATACCTGTTATTGTTTTGCAGGTGTTGTTCAGAAATTTGTCTATAATTTAAAAACTATTTAACAAGTGGTTATCAGAGTCTTGTTTTCCAGCCTAGTGGAGTGTGGCATCTGCTATCCCTATCTTCAAAAATTCTGGAGAGCTATCTGGCTCATCTAACTACTGCCCATTAGTCTTCTTTCTATTATAAGCAAGGTTTTTGAATCTTTAACAAAGACTCAATCTCTCTTGAATCTAATAACTTTCTGATCATCAATATGGATTTCGATCTTCTTGTTCTAGAGATGATTTGCTGATAGGTTTTATTGTGCAACAGATAAAGTTGGAGAGGTGAAGGCTATTGCTCTTAACATTTTAAAGTTTTTGACAAAGTTTGACATGCTGGTCTTCTCCATAAACTTTCTTTTTATGGTGTATCAGGTAACATCTTTAAGATTATTGAATCTTTCCTTTCTAATTGTAGTATAAAAATTGTCCTCAATAGACAGCACTCTCCTTCATACCATGTAACTTCAGGGGTTCCTCAAGGTTCTAATGTTGGCCCTATTCTTTTTTTAATTTAAATTAATGATCTTTCAGATATTCTCACATCTAAAGTGGCATTGTTTGCTGATGATACTACCATTTATTTTTGTCTTGATAAGAAGCCAATACTCTCTTATAGATTTTAGGGGGCATTTGAGCTTGAAAAAGATCTCACTTCTGCTACAACATGGGGCTCACAATGACTGGTGAACTTTAATTCAGATAAAACCTAATTTTTTTAAGCCAATCCAAATCGCAATAATCTAAATCTTCCTATATTTATGATAAACCATATATCGAATTCATTGCAAAATTAACATTAGCTAAGGTTGCATCTCTTTATCATGCTCGACACTTCCTTACTGCAAATTCTATTTTTCATCTCTATAAATCTCAAATCCATCCTTGTATGAAATACTGTTGCCATATCTAATGCAGATTTTCCTATGATGCCCTTTCTCTTTTAGATAAGATACAAAAAAGTGTTGTAAACATAGTTGGACATGCTCTTGTAGCCTACCTTCAACCATTATCACATTGTTGTAATGTTTCTTCTCTTTCTCTTTTCTACAAATACTATAATGGGCATTGCTCTAATGAGCTAGTGTCTCTTGTGCCATCTATTAAAATTCATTTTCATGTTACTCATCATTCAATTAAGTCTTATCCTTTTTTTGCGACTATTTCTAAGTGCCTAAAAGAAACTCACACAGATTAAGGTCAGCAAATTAGTGCCGACCTTATTTTTACTAATTCCGAGGGCTGATATATATATATATATATATATATATATATATATATATATATATATATATATATATATATATATATATATATATATATATATATATATATTATCCTACTATATATATATATATTAAGCATTATCCTACTATGTTTAGAAACATAGTAGGATAATGCTTAATTACCAAAATGATTACTACATTTTGTTTCCTTTAATTTTAGTGTTCTTTCTGACATTGAATAGAGAATTAAATTGCATAATGGTGTTGTTGCTTCCAGGATTATAGATTAGTGCATTATTAAAAGGACCTCGAAATAGATTTTGGAAATCGTTAAAGTCCTGGTTGTTTACTTGATTTTTTATTCTGGTTTTAAATACTAGTCTTGCTGCACAATTTTGACTGCAGTTTTATTAATAGTGTCTTTTGAATTCTAAAGTAGGGAGTTCCAATAATCTGTACAAATATAAGTGAACATATATGGTGCACAAATATTTGCATGATAAGAATTGTTTTATTTCAAATATTTTGCTCAATATATTGTAGCAGTTTTTAACAATCTTATTTATTTGTGTTTTTAAAGATATTTAATTGTATAGTATCACACCTAAACTTTTTTTGGAGTCAACAAATCTAATGCATTACTTGTTAACAAAAGTACCTTTAAGTATTCAAGACATTTTGGTATATCCAAAACTTGTGCATTATATTGAGATGATGGATGCTTTTAGAGTTTGATGATCACCTGAGTACCCTAAGGTTTTAACATAGGCTATGTTCAGATATTTGATGGTGGTCTCATGAAGATATTTAAGAGTTTTGGACCCAGGAATGTACCTTTTGGTGCTCCATATTTTACATTTTGGTTTGTGGAACATGAGTTGTTAATTTTAACTTTTTAGGTACGCTTAACTAAAATGGATTTAAACCACTTGTGAGCTGAGTCAACTATACCTATTTCACTAGTTAATAGCCCAAGTATTTTTTACTGATCACTAGTGTCAAAGGCAGCACTTAGATTAAGTAACATTGGTACTGAAGGTGTATGTTTATCAAAGAGTTTAAATATATCATTGGTTTAAATATATATTTGATGTTTTAGTTAATGTTTTTTGTACCCATATTGATATTCTATATGAAGATTGTTTGTTGTCATGCGGGAATCAAATTTTATTTTTGATACAAGATTATAATTATTATATTAAAATTTAATTTTAAAACCAACATTTAAATTAACTATAAACTTTAATGTTTTGTAGTCACCAGTACTTTTGTAGTCTTTACAGACAATTTCAGCAGGTTAAATATAACTGTGAATATCAGAATGTTGGCCAACAAGTTATAACTTTGTTTTCTGATAATCTACCATTCTGATAACCAATCCCTATTGAGCTTGAAAGGATCAGGTAGTTCAACACCGTATATAAAAGTTTTCTTTTATACTTAGTGTATATATCATACTCTACTTCTTCAACTGTTTATAATAGATGTAACATTGTTTTCCATTGTACAATAGACTTGAGCAGCAATAATTTTTTTCCAGATATTTTCAAGCCACAAAGACATAAATTTTTTTTACGCCTTTTTTTTCTACTTTTATACTACATAGTAATTCTTCTACTTTTATACTACTTTTCTATATACAATAATCCAAATGAAAACTTTTATACTTTTATATACATATACTTTTTTATTTTCTAGAGGTTTTTATATAATTGAAAAAAAAATTTATTTAAAAAAAAAAGATTTTTTACTTGTGGTTTTATCAACTTTTAACATTTTTTTAAAATGTATTTTTTTTTTTAACACACAATGCAATACAGTTGTGTAAATAAAGTATTTACCAGTTTCTGTGTTACATTATGTGCGCATTAATCTGTTTTATCATTTTATCATTTTCTAAAAGTTAAAATTAAATATCTTCAATCTTCATACTATAGCTATTTAAATATTCTTACAATGTTGCAAGTCAAATAGTTATAATATTTTTATTATTAATTTTAATAACTTTTAAGTTATTTTAGTTTATATAATTATAGAGAAATATAGAAAATTGTCTCTGTAAAGAGAAAATTTTCTTTCTTAGGGTTATGGGTTAAATTCAGTCTTTTAAAATAATTAAACCGATAAAGGCTAAATAATTTTGAAATAATTAAACAGGATGAGGGTTTTAATAAGCCTAAAGTATACAGAAAAAGTGAGCATAATGAATTTTTTTTACTCTAAGATCAATTTTTAAATAAATTATCTTTCTACCATTTCCTAAAAAATATGTCCTTACGAACCTTCCTTGCAAACCTTCTTTACAAACCAACTTAACAAATCTTCCTTTTTTTGAGCAAAATGTTTTTCACAAAAAGAAAATTTTTTAATCAACAAATTTTGTGAAAAATAACTTTTTGACTATTGGAAAAAAATTAAACTTTAATTAGACTTGGTACTCTTGGGGGCTTCTTTGAGAAAACAGTGTATATAAATATACAAATATATTTTGTGTTTCATAATGCAAAATTAAAAATATAGTTAAATACAACTGTGTAAATAATCTACCTTATGTAAAACCACTTCAGGTAGACCAGACTTTTTAAGAAAAGCAGCTGCATCAATTGCACTAATAATGCCACTTCCTGATGGATTAGCCTATAGTAATAAATGAGAGGTACATCATTATTATAATTTCTAATAACAACTTAAAAATATAAAATTGCAATACTTGTCTGAAATAAGTTTCATAGACACTTGTGTTTTGAGACATCTAAAAAAGAAATTTACAAATCTATTTATCATGCATAAAATTTAATACATTCATGAATACAAAGTACAAACATATATACATATATATATATATATATATATATATATATATATATATATATATATATATATATATATATATATATATATATATATATATATATATATATATATATATATATATATATATATATGTATATATATATATATATATATATATATATATATATATGTGTGTGTGTATGTATGTGTATATGTATATATATACATACATATATATATATATATATATATATATATATATATATATATATATATATATATATATACAAACTTGCAACATTCATTCTGATGCCATAAAATATACAATTAATATACAATATAAACACTAACACTAATTACAATAGCCTTCAGTCTCTCTATGACAAAGAACACATACTTTTCAAGAAACTTCCGCACTCTTATTAATTACCTAAGGTTATCCACGGTGGGTTCTTCTAATTCACTTATAATCAAGTCAGGTGACTTGGGAGCAGAGCGATCCCTGACATGTGTCTCAGAAATCCATAGATTTCCACTAAAACTCCTTGTCCCACATCCGAAACAAATCCTTTGTTCCATTTAATCATACATTTTGAGTTAGGAGACTTCACAAATACTTCTTGTCTTTGTGTATAGTCATGGAGAATTTTTTTGCTAATTTTAGCAGTAATTAAGTGGTCATAAGAGAACTATAGTAAAGTGTTTTTGCACTATGTTATACCAGTACTCCATCTTTACCAGATCTTCACGATTCCTGGCTGCCGTATGCTTAAATATTTACTGATATTCAACAATTCCATTTCCAGATGGCCTGTAGACATAATGAAAGAGGACACTCCCCATTCAGTTCGTAGTTCACACACAAGTTTTGAGCAGAATGCCTGCCTGTTGTCAAACACCACTTGCCTTGAAGGTCCTTATTTTCCAAATATTTCTTTTAAATGGAACTTTTGTATCTTTTTTGTATAGAAGTTTTCACCAAATTGCAAATTTGCTCTTATTACTACAAACCAACAAATGATAAATAAACTTCCGATTTGAAATAGGTTACACCAATTGTTTTACTGAAAAACAATTTCTTACATTAGATGTTTCTAACTTCTTTCCTCCCATTTAATTTGCAAGGAACTATAGAAGACATCTTTCACAACTTTTATGAATGATTCTATGTCTTTTCTGGATACATTCTTTTAAGGGTATGTCTGCTTTATCAGGTAAAGCATTCAATTGACTTTAATGTGATAAAGAATCCAAAGTAATATAGATTATGAAATAAATTTACATAAGCTGATGTGACATTAACTGCTATTGCTAATGGGTTAAACTAGGGGTTAAAGTACAATAGCAAATTAAGTTAAACAGTGTTGAAAAGTTCAGCCCTTCTGCTATTCAAATTTTTGCTGTATCAGGTGCATTTTTGCTGTATTTTAAGGTCTACTTTAAGGTGATGATGAAAATTACTATTTCGGTCCACAGTTATTTGCTTATATCAAATACTTAAATTAAATACTTAAGGAAATATTTTTGAAACAAACTAATTTATAGTACAAAAACAGAAATGTAATAACAAAAAAGAAATAATTATATTCAATATTACATCAGTATTAAATACAAGAATACTTATCATCAAATTTTTATGAGTACTTATAACCCCCCTCCCGCAGCCAGAACCAAAAACCAGTAAAAAAACTAAGACTATAATTTTAAAATGTCACTTTGTCTATTATCTAATTTATATATTATTGTGTTCACTGTATTTATTCCTTTATTGTCCGATTTTAAATTTAATTTTAAGATTTATTAATTTTTTAATTTTAAGAGTTATTAAATCTTTAAAATACTAAATACCCAAAAAAAACAGTTTAAAAAAAAAATAAAAAAACAATTTAAAAAAAAAATTTGGTTTATTCTTCTTTTGTTCAAGAATAAGCAAGATTTTAATTTAACATTTTAACATTAGGTTGTAATAATTTGGCATTATGTCTACCAAATTAATATTTTTTTCCCATTACAATGCCATAACAACCAATATATGAACAAAACATTTGTATAAAGTTTGCAAAACAATTAGTTTATAAAAAACTATGCAAAAGAGCTGAAATTTCTTCATAATAAAAATATTCATTTGAAAAGATTTTTGTTCAACACATTTTAGTTTTTGAAATTCGTATTAATCTTGTTTGTTACATCTAATTTGTTGAAGTTTGTTAGTTTTTTATGCATCATTTCTGAAATATTCCTTTTTTTTTCATTTATTTTCTCTCAAATGATTTTTGGTTTTATGTTTTTTTTCAACATCTTCACTACCAATAAGGCTGCAAGGAACCACTATTAGAGTTGGAAGTGACTGGAAGTTAAAAGATGAAGTTTATAGAGCAATATAACGATTAACAGACAACATAAAAGATAGCAAATTACATGAATCAGGAAAGCAAGATAAAGAAAAAGAATTCCAAAGAACTGATGTCGAGGAAAAAAACTAGGCAAATTTTTGGAGCACTTAGGAACAGTAAAAGGATTAGACATAATTGAATAATGAGTAAAACAAGAATGAACTTTAGTAGATGGCACAAGAGATGCTAACCCTTAGAGCAGTGCCCATTATAGTATTTATAGAAAAGAGAAAAAGAAGCAACATTACACCAATGAGATAATTGTTGGAAGTTGGCTGCAAAAGTATGTACAACATGTTTGCAATGTGTTTTTTCACCTTGTCTAAAAGAAAGGGTATCATTGGAAGATCCGCCTAAGATATGGCAACAGTATTCCATACAAGGACAGATTTGAGATTTATAGAATTAAAGAATAGAATCTGGAGTAAGAAAGTGGTAAGCACAATAAGAAATGCAACCATGCTTATTAAATATTACTATATATCTATAATATCTTTTAAATACTATATATATACTATGAGTGGTAAATATAGAGTAATCATACCACAAAAATTTGCTTATTTCAATTTTTAATTTATAAGGTTTTTAAGTTATAAAATATTTTTAAAAAATTTATTTAAAAATTCATTTATATTTAAAAAAATGAAATTTTACTACAGTTCCAATGAATTTTTTTTATATTCTTAGGGATGCCACCTTAAACAATTTTTAATCTATAATTAAAAATAGCAAATTTGCAAAATTAAAATAATAGTAATAGTATAAGTAAGATGAATAGTTAGTGTCTATATAAAAAAATAAAAATATAATATATAACAAATATATTACAGAGACAACAACTAAACATAAGCTTATTGAAAATTATTTTTATTTCGATTTAAATATTAGCAATTCTGTTTAACTTTACTAAAGGTTAATAACTTTCACAGTAGTTCAAGATGCCTTTCAAATAAATGCAAAAACCACGGTAAACCTAATGATTAAAAAAATAATTAATAAAAATATATAAAATTTGAGTATAAGGATTTTAAATAATTAATATTTTAGATAATTAAAGATGTTAAAGCTTAAAAATAACTAAAACTTAATAAAACTTAAAATAAAAAATTTATTAAAGCTAAAAGTCATTATAATTGTTATTTTTATTTATATTATAATTTAGGTCGAAATAAATAGGCAAAATAAAGGACAAAAAATTCAAAAATTATGTTTGCACAATCAGATTGTTATTAAGAATTTTTTTTGTTCATTTATTATTAAAAATAGTTAACTTTTTGTTACTAACAAGTAATTCTAAATGAATATTTTAAAATCATACTATTTTTTTAAAAAACAAGTTTACCATAAATTTGTTTGTCTTTAATTGAGTTTCATAAAAAGTTTAAATTCATTTTTTTTAAATAATGCTCTACTAGTAATTAAATAACAGTTTTAAACAAGTTACGCCACATAAATTAACGCTATAAATTACATAAGTTACGTCATAATTACTTTTTAAAAAACAACAACAGCAAGCTATTTATTTTCCATAAATCATTTTTACAATAGATTAAAATAAGATTTAAAAAAAAAATTATACAAATGAATTATACAAAAAATCTATAAAAAAACTTCCTCAATCTTAAGAAAACTTCTACATCAATGCGGCTGCAGGACACTTTCTCTCTTCTTTTTTTTTTTTGAAAACTGTGCAAAGTAGAAGTGCTGTACAAAGTATAAAGAGTATCAATGAAGCTTATAAAATGATTAACCACAATGCATGCTTTAAATGTATCACCTAAAGCCAGTTCAAGGAAATGATTCAAACAATCATATTCAACTAGCAGAGAAAACTTTTGCTTCAATTGTTTGAAGAGATGCCATTACTTGATTCAATCATAATGAAGGTACTGTCAATGGTTCACTGCCAAATTAAAATATCTGTATAACTTCAATAAAAAACCCTGTGCAAAATATGGAAAAATGATCTTCTACTTTTATTTATAAAAAAACCCATTAAAAAAAAAACATTCTAAAGCACTAAATGGAGGAATGATTTTGTGATTTGTTGGCTTAGGAAGAATAGCATTCCCCTCTACTTAAACCTCTAGGTACAGTTAGTTTTAGAATCAGCTAGTTCTAGGGTGCCCTGGTAAAAACATCTGCATTATTTCCTGCTGACTTAAATTAATCTTTATCAGTAAATTACATTCATTCAAAAGATTTTCAATTAAAAATAACCAATGTAAGAGAAAGTGGTTCTCTAAAACCATGAACTCAATCAATATTGCTCCCAATGATTAAGGAGTTTAACCAGCCAATAACTGTTTCAGAATCGATTATTAAGGTAATTCGATCAAAACCTCATTTTTTTGTTTTGTTGAACTCATTTTGCTGAATTTTATTCAATATTCATATTTAAACCAAAATCCAATCTTATTAGGCAGTAATGTTGTACACAACTTGATATTTCCACATGTGTCAACATGAATCTGCAGTTAATTATCTCGAGTTTTTCTCCTAATCTTCTCTAGCTGTGAAGCTTGGTACTACAAACATTGCCATCTGCAACATGACTGGTTAAAAATTAATTCAGACTATGATAGTTAATCTCCGGATATACTTTTGATTTGTTCAATTGAATTACTGCCAAATGATACCACTGCATTTTCCTTTGAATGGTTAAGGTCATCTATGTGTTATCCATTCTCTTACTTCAATTGTGTACTTTTTTTGAATGTTTTCAGAGATATGATAGTTTGGATATTTCTTTGTTAAAGTTAGTGATTTGTGTAGTCATTCCAAATTACATTTTAACTACCATTCATAAATTCTGCTATGAAGTAACTTTATCAATCAATATTTGAGTAGCAGATGAAACGACTACATTGTTTGTTTTTAGAGAGACTGTAGTAGCACTAATATTTTTTTGCAACCAAACATTCCAAAGTAACAGTGGTTTTATTTAGTGACAGATCAACAATGATTTGGTGTCTTATCTAATCGATTCCCTATTCATCATGACAACCTTTTCTCTTGCTAGTGTGATATTTTTCATTTGTAATGCCAAAAATTAAAACAGATTTAGAGCATCCAGTGTCCAATAATGCTCTTAAGTTTCTTTTAATCATTAACAAAGACACAAAGCGTTTGCAGTTTTAAGTTTAATCGGAAGCTGCTTCCAAAGTAGTCATTCCACACACAAAAAGGTTGCACACTAAGTAGTCATTCAACACACGAAACAGAACCTCTTTTTCTCAATTTTCTTGTTGAAGTTATGGCTCATATGCCTATCTTTATCGCAATTGAAACACCAAGATTTTGCGGATTTTGTTCTGAAGAAGCTTGTCTCAGATTGGTGGAAAAACATTATAATAACATGACTATGATATTATACAGCTGTTGATGGAGTCTCTAAAAGTCAAAGACAGAGTTTAGGAAAACCTTATACCAGTTAGTCTCAGAAACATTAAACTGAGTTTTAGAGTTGTATTCTATTAGGAGATAATATAATATAAAGCTATGGCTTTATAATGTATTTTTTTTTGCATTTAAACAAGCATCTTGCGTTATTTACATAGATCATCCTAGACATATTTTAAAAATCCGGAAAATTGCTTGAATAAAATATCCAGAAAAATTCCAGAATTTATTTTTTCTTACTTTCTCTTTTAGCTTAGTTGTTGTTAGTTTTTTTTTTTTTGACACTTTTCATAATTTTTATATGATTGATGAGTGCAAAAGCTTAAAAAACAAATATAATACAAAAGTATATACCTCAACTTGCATGTATTGAAAATGTTTTGAATACCCGGAAAAACTAATAGTTGAAAAAATATCCGGAATTTCGGAAGTATCCAGAAAAAAATAATCCCTGGTTATTTATTATTAAAAACACACTGTGATTAGTATAGGTTTTGAAACACCTTTTGCCTGCATTTTATGCTTGCAAATACAGATATCTTTTATGTAGATGGAATCTAATACACAATTTGAAAGACGTTCCTGAAAAGATCTGAAAGACGTTCCTGAAAAAAGACGTTCCTGTTTGTAGGATAGTCTAGGGAACATTAACACGTATTTCAGCAAGGAACTTTGACTTTAAGACATGCGTTGATACAGAAAAGAAGTTATAAATTTCTTAAAGAAAACTAAAGGAATTAACAGCAGCTTTGTTGGATTCCATGACACTCAATCCTACAAGGTTCAAATAGTAAGCAGCACATGAATTGTATTCAGCAAGAACGTTGATATCTTGCTTATAAACTTAAGTAGATTCCAGACATATTACTGGCATTGTCGTTAGATTGGCCACGCCAATTTTTGTTGTTTGCATACTGATCTAATTTTTTCAAAACGATTTCAAGCATGAAAACTGCAAAATGATTATGCATAGGAATGAATGCTAAAAACCGCTCAAGTGGTTTTCTGTTTTGTACACATCGGGATTAAAATCAATGATGATTGAGAAATATTTTGCAAATTTGATTTACTACTATAAGATGTTACTTAAGACCATATTATCTGTAAATTTCATAACCTCAGTGACTATTAAGTGTATAAGTTCTTTGCAAATGTCTCTTAGATAAGTATGAGGTATAACCCTTTCCATTGTTTCCATGAGTTATTACCTATTGGGCAAGGAAAGATCAATTTTACTAATAGTGCAATACATCCAATAAAGTTTCCTTTGCGTATTGATCCTAGTTTTGCCTGATCTGCAAAATGATAATCCTTTGAGAATGAACAATAAATAAAATATCAAATTATTTTAAATTTTTTTTATCACCATTATATTCTTAAAAAATTTTTTAAAGTTTTTTTTTTCCACCATTATGTTAGAATTTAAATGTTCCTTCAAGTTATTAAAAAAACAAAACTTCCAGTTAGTGATACGTGGTATAAGCTTTTATCGCAAAAATTAAAAATCTCTGGGACATAAGAGGAAGTCATGGATAGAGGTATAACAATAGTAATAAATTTTTTTTTGATATTATGTATATCTCAAAAACTCACTTAGTTACGCTGGCCCCTTGAACTCCGTGGCCTTTCAGCACGTGTCCAGTGTGTCTGTTGGTTAAACCGTCACTGATGGCCATATAAATTTCATGTATAAATAGTATACTAATCAATTTACTATATCAAGGTAGCAAGTTAGTTATAATATTAAATGTTATTATAATAACATTTAATATTATAATATTAGTTATAATAATAAATTATTTTTAATGCCAGGTTTGTATTTACTTATATATGAGTAACCAGCAATACAAATTATTTAAAACATAAAAATATCTATAAGCAAATGTTAACAAATAACAATCTCAATGCTGTCTAATTTGCTGGTTTGATTTAAATAATAATTATTTTTCTTTTAACTTGAAATTATTATTTGAGCCAGAAAACTAAAAAACAAATTTCTTGATCCTCCTAAAAACTTCAGTATATATGGATCAAATTAACTACATAAACTCTGATTTATTGTTAAATATAATAATATTTGTAATTAACATAGTATCAATTAAAAATTTATTTAAACAACTAAATTTTGACCAATTTATATTTAAATTGTTATCTATTGTGAACATTGTGACAAAAGTTATATAAATAAAAGTTAATATGAAAAGTTTTAAGATTAGTTCATAATCAAAGTTACGATTGTTATTATTATTCGACATATCTTACCTGAATTTTATATTTATTTTTCCGTCTTATTCAGCAAATTAAAAAAACCATGTAATGTGTGTGTATAATATAATATATATATATACACACTTCTCTTCAAAAATCAACATTTAGGAAAGTACATAGTTTCTAATATCTTTTCCGACGCTAAACAATAATATAATTTGTTTGACGGAATTTTGGTGCAAATTTATTAGAAGGAAACCGTTCTTTAGTCGAAAGATTTATAGCCGGTTTAAATCATTGGTCAACATTTTTGTTTTCTTTTGTTCGGATTTTTGTTGATGCTGTTGTTTTTGCTTTTTTCGGTACCATTTTTAAAGATTAGTTTAAGTACATAGTAAAACTTAAATAAATCTATTTCTTATGAATATGATTTTACTCAAATCGCATTAAAATTTAAAAATTGGAAAGTTTAAAAACAAGTTTGTTTTTGGTTATGTAGTTCTTTAAATTATGAAGCGGATTGAAACTTCGTAATTTAAAGAACTAATTCATCCTTTCTTTAGTTGTAAAAACTGTGTTTGTTGATCATGCGAAAAGTTTCAGGCTTTTTTTTCCACTTTAAAACATTTGTATTTATATATATAGCAATATATATTTATATATATATATATATATATATATATATATATATAGCAAAAAGCAACCCGTAATACGGGTTATGGTCGGTCTGTCACATAACTAATTCATAGTGTCTGTTTTCCACAATTTAATGTTGCAAAACCTTAACTAATACCCTTTTAGAAAAACGTCTTCAAATTAAAAAAATTAATCCATCTGTAAAATTAACATAAAAAGTATGAGGAGGTAAAATAATTTACCAACTACTACTTAACATTTACAATTACTTCTTAACATTATTTGAGTAATTTACAACTGACATAGGTCAAAACAGTGTAAAGCAGAACCATTTTCCTCGACATTCCTAAGTTCAACACAATACATTTTTAGTTACTAACACAAAATAATAACACTTCATCATGCTTTAAATTGAAGAAAGTATCAATCAAATCCTTGTAAAAATTTTTATAACATGAGCTATAAAGATTAGGATGAAGTTAACTTATATTATACATGAGTTATCAATTTTTTGGTATCCTCTTGATTAATTTTTCTTTAGAAAAGAAAATTGTTAACTTAAAACGTTAAATGCACGCAACTAAATAAATTTATTGAAAATAAATAAGTTTATTATAAAACACAAACAATTGGTTCAAAAGTTGTCACAACTTTTGAACCAATTGTTTGTGTTTTATAATAAAATAGTGACGGTTAAAGTACCGATTTTTCGATATATGCAATTATTGAAGAAATTGTAGTCAAAACTATGTTTTTCTTCACTTAAATTGTCATAATTTTATTAATTCTTATCGAAATACAAATATCTTGGTGTCAAAAGATAGGTGTAAGAGTGGGCTAATTTTTATTAAACTCTAACCAACGGGTGTATCGGATAGTCAGAGGGGGCACCAAACCACCACTTTACCTAAATGAAATTAAATATTTTTCACAAAAAAAAGTCTTTTTTTCAAGACATAAGTATTTAAAATATACAAAAACATTGGTATAAAATTATATTTAACCACCAGAGCATTTGAGAGGCGTATGTTAACGTTGGAGGTAGGTGTGGTGGTGATGGTTTGATACACCCTAGTATCAAATATGACATGTTTTCATAAATATTTTTATCTTTACTAAAATGAATTCAATTATTATACAATATAAAATTATGTTCTACAAGAATTTACGTGGTGGAATTTAAGTCGTGTTTATATCGATGTATGGGAGGGGCATATAACCTCCCCCACCTCTCCCTAACCTAAAAAATTAAAAAAATTAAAATAATACAACTACTGTTTCCTAAAGTCCCAAAACAAAGTTTTTTCTGTATAAAAAAGGTTCTATAAATTAATACTGGACAACTACCAAACATTGAAGGTAAGTGTAAAACTCATGCTAAATGTGTTGACCATGTTTTAACACACTTCATATTCTCCTACAAAGTGACTTCTAATATCAGTCAATAGTGGTAAAAAGGTAATCAAAACAAGGTATTTACCAACCTTTACAAATCTTCAAATCTTTCATACAGTGCTTGATATTAGTTTGGTTAATGAAAAGTTCGGCTGTTTCAAACTAAAAAACAAATAAAATATTAGTAACACTAAACAATGTTTGATTATTTTAATGATGCTTTATTTCATAAAGTTTTTTCTTCGCTTTTAGTGAATGATTACAATGATAAATTCCACTGATGAAATTATTCTATAATCATTTTTAACAATAGACACCACGTGAAGGTAAGCCAGAGCTGTCTATCAAAAGTGCATAGCAAGTTACAACACTTGCAGTACTTTTTTTAGCAAGTCACTGCACATGCAGTGCTTTTTTTAACAAGTCACAACACTTGAAATACTTTTGTTTAGCACTTTGTCATTAACTAAAGTAAGTCTAACATTTAATCTTTATTCGGATTTTTTATTTCTCCCCAAAACAGAGCAGAGTTATTTGCAAAGAAATCTTACTTTAATTTGACTCTTGTATATAATGGTCATACTCTTCCTGACAGTTAAACAGATTTTTGTGAAAAAATCTTTTTTGTGATAATTTAAGCACTTTCAAGGTTCTTTTGTTGATCGAGGTAAAGCTTGCTATAGCCGTTGTAATTTAAATTAAGTAGTTAAAATTGAAAATTAAATAAAGCATTAGTTAAAACTGTGACACCGTCTTTAAAACCATTCACGTGTCACAGATGACGTTTTGGGCAGCAAAAGTGTAAAAATCAAAACGTCATTCATCAAATATATTATTTTTTTACACTATTTTTTTGGACACCATCGTTTTTCGATCCAGATGCTTATGACTTACTTTTTTTTTGATTTGATTTTATTTAAGATGCCCTATATCCTCACGGTCTTATCACATAACACCACAGAAGAGCATTTGAAAGGAAGTTCACACCTCTTTCCTTACCGATGCTGTAAAACTTGTCTAGAGGTGGCATTGAACTACGGATCTTTAGTTTCTGAGGCAAACATGCTAACCACTGCGCTGCAGCTGCTTGTGTTAGCCTAATATTAGTGGCATGCTGATCTTTTGTTGTGGTGCACGAGGTTTGGGGATCGTGGTTGCTAATACATACATATCTGTTGACATTCTGTATGTGTATGCGTGCTTAGGATCACACTTATCCTTGTTGGTACATATTCTATGATATCATGAGTAGAAGGCAATAGTTGAACTTCCTATTCATCATACCCTTAATTGGATTTACGTTTTTCTTGTTATGTTCTATTGTTTACCAATGGTTTCTTTAAAACATTATAAAACTGCCAGTATGTGTGGATAATCTTTTTTTTACTTATTTAACAATGGTTCTTTTTTTTTGTTTCTTTTTACCAAAGTAGTTATTTTTTGAAGTTTTTTTTAGAAGTGGTATATATAATATGATATTTAAAAATAAATATATATATTCCTATATTAATGAATAGCAACCCTTTCACTGAGTCCTCTTCTTTACGTTTTCTTGGATTATAGTTTACTACTGACTTTTTATAGAAACCATATATACAATCAATTGCATAATTAGCATCTTCTAAGGTTACTTCACTTTATCATGTTTACTATTTTTTCTCTCCGGATTCTATTTTCTACCTCTACGAATCTACGAACTTAACAGGTTGCTTGCAACCTTGTTTTCTAGTAACTTAACAGTGGTTGCTTGCAGCCTTGTTTTCTAGTAACTTAACAGTGGTTGCTTGCAACCTTTTTTTCTAGTAACTTAACAGTGGTTGCTTGCAGCCTTGTTTTCTAGTAACTTAACAGTGGTTGCTTGCAGCCTTGTTTTCTAGTAACTTAACAGTGGTTGCTTGCAGCCTTGTTTTCTAGTAACTTAACAGTGGTTGCTTGCAGCCTTGTTGGGAATGAATCAGAATACGCTTGTTGGGAATGAATCAGAATACGCTTTTTTTTTTAACTCTATTCTTTCTTTCTAAAAATGATTGCTTGCAGCAACCATTATTAGGTTGGTGGCAGTGAATAAAAATAAAAATAAAACTTTTACTCATTACTTGTACTAAATTGTCTAGAAAAAAATCACAACGACTAAATAATATATAAATAAACAAATGTAAAAAAACTTTATGGATGCACAACAACCTGTAAAACAACATAGCATAACAAAGATCTATAATTGAATAGTAAGAATAAAAGAAAAAATACCAAAATAATATAGCATAGCAAAAAAACTGACTTTACATTACTTATATTAGTAATATAATATTACTAATATTAGTAATAAAATATTACTAATATTAGTAACTATATTACTAATATTGTATTACTAATGTTAGTAATTATATTACTAATATTATATTACTAATATGAAAGTTATATTTTTTAAAAATTCAACTTCATAGTATGTAAACATTAAAATTCATTTAATAACTTTACATTGAAGAAAGGCAAATAATTTTATTTAAACGTTTTAATAAATATGAAATAATATTGAAAACCTTCATCTCTATCATTATTTTCCATTTTTTAATGAAAATTTAATTTAATCTAAATCAAATATAAAATATGTTTAATTAACTCCTCAGTCTCCCGCAACCATTTCAGGCAAAATGAAAATTAGGTACCAAAAGTGCGACAAAAAATAGACAACCTGCTACCAAATATTTGAACTTCGGCTATTGTATAGATAAATGAAAAACTTGAAAAAAGAAAGAACACATCTTCGACATTAATTAGATACCCAAAGTACAACTAAGTTTTAAACATCAAAAAACTCATTAACGTGAAACAGTTTTTTAGCAAAAAATTCAGTACCGTAAAACGCGGATTTGCGCGTACAGGATTTGTGTACAGGCCTACTCAAACGTTTATAAATACCTATCTACTGAGGTTTCTTTCCATTGATTTCCAATATAATTTTTTATTTTATTTGCATCATATCGGTATTTAACTTTTTCATTTTGTGGATCAGATAGATTGATTTTCATAACCTTTGTAAAAGTAGTGGAAACTTTTTTTTTAAATCATGATCAAGTTTATTAATCGCTTTATTTGTTGCAACTGTAAGTTTCTGATGGCGATACATTCAACTTTTTACTACTTTATATTTAAACCTTTTACATTTAACTAGACATTTTTAACTAGAAATTTTACTGCTTTTAATTTTCTGTTAGCATATATATATTCTTAATACATTCTTGGCAGTTAAAAAATACATTCTTGACAGTTAAAAAGGCTATGCAGCATTTTTGAACTTCCTAAATTATTCAAGCTTTCTTCGGAAAAAGTATGCATAACCTCTGCCTTCCAAAACATTTTTGACCTGAGTCTCCCTATGTGCTTTAAATGGTTAACAATAACATGGCCTTGTTTTTAAAATTGTTCATAATCAATATGAATTAAAAGATTATTTTCAATATAATTTTTGTATAGATGTATACTTAAAAATACTCTTGATCTAAAAACCTTATGAGTTTCATTTACAAGATACTTGATTTTATGTTTTTCAGTTAAAACTTTAAAAACTGCAACGTTAGCAAAGCCGCAAGTTAAAGGATCGATAATAGACTACTATAAATAAAATATCTATCATAAAAAAAGAAGGAATTGATTGTATTATAAATCTTTTGTTAAAATAAAATGTTTTTTACTTGTTCTTTTGTTTTCATAAAAATGGTTTTAGTCGTTCCATTGTTTTCTAAATTTGCTTAAAAAATATTAAATTTTGTCCGCTATTTTACATATATTTACAATAATCTCAAGTAATTTAAAGACCAGATTTTTAGTTACATAGCTTTATGACATTATAAAATTAATGTATTTCACAATAGACTTTTTAATAAAGCATAAGAGGGAAAACATTAAAAGTCTAACGAGCCAAATGTCAAATTTTGTGTTTATCACATTCAAATTAATAAAAGCTTTCATATTTAATCAAAAAAACAAATTTTAAACTTGAAATAACTAATTTTTTTCTACCTTTGATATGTTTTTAGACATGTGGCTGTTTAGAAATTGAATATGTAATTCAAAACTTGATTTTTGTGCTAAAAAAATTCAGTTAAACATAGCCCTTTAACTAAAACGCAAAATTCATGTGTTTTCCAGAACGTGCATTAACTGCGTTGACTAATAAGTGCTTGAATATCAAATTCACATGCCAAGAAGACGCCCTCAATACGTCCAACAGACGTTCTGCGCCCACTGAACGTCTTCTCAAGTAGTAGCTAAAAATACTCAGCGACTTAAATAAATTATCAAGAGCAGCAGTTTGTAAAAAATATAATAAAAAGAATAATGAAAGTTAATAAAAATATTGAATTTTCTCAAAAGTAAATGATTTTTTTAAAATTTTAGTGAAAATCAGAATAATTTAATTATATTTACTTCATTGTACCTTCAAGCTTTATTTATTGTTTCTAATTGGATATTTATATTTTCAAATAACAGATCATTAGAGTTTTTGAATTTTTCGAACGAAGTTAAACTATATAATATTTTTTAGAAATGTTAGGGGACTACTTATTTGTGTTGCTTAAATACTGAGGTAGGTTTATGAATGGGTTTAAACTTTTACTGTAAACTTATACAAACTGATTTTATTTTGCAAAATTCTTGAATGCTTTTGTTAAAGTAAGAGATATAATGCCTATGTCTTTTTTTCGTTTTACAAATTAGTTTTACAGATAAATATAAATCATTATATATTATCCAAATTAAGGTTTATTATTTTTTCCTAATATAAAATTAGGAAAAATTACAAAAACTATTTCTCCGCTTCACGGATACTAATCTAAACCGCTAATCTCTGCTTTACCTACAAAAGTATATCGTCGGTCTAAAGTAGGGATTGCAATCCCGGGATCCCGGATCCCGAGATCCCGGGATCTAAACACAAAAGATCCCGGATTCTAAACACAAAATCCCGGGATTTTCGGGATTATAGCAGGATTGAACTAATTAAATTATTTTGTAAAACAAAATGTTCAAAGTTGGTAACTATACTGAATTATAACGAGTTATATAATGCTGCTTTGCGGGTTTATCCTGTTTATGTTTTATCCTTACGATTAATGGAACAAATTTTTGAATAGACCATGGAGTTCGGGATTTTATCATTGAAAAAAGTTTCACAAACACAAATTAAGGCAGGTTTGTTTGACTATTGTATAAAAAACAATCGTTAAGTTTGTTGGCAAGATTTCTCGCGTTAAAAAGATAAATTTTAAAATTGTTGAGCGAATTTGTGGTTAAGTGATTGCTTGAGTTTATTAAGTCGTTTTGTTCATTTCAAAAAATATTTTTAGAGAATGAAAAAAATAAAAATGAACAAGTAATAAAAAAAAAAATTATATCTAAAAAAATTTAATGATTCTTACATAACAATTCCCTTTGGGATATTTCTAGCGATTTGTATAACTATATTTGTACAATTATTAGTTATTGCAACATTATAATGCCCTTGACAATTAATTCCGCTTGAAGGAATTCTAGTGTGAATACAAACAAAATTTGACTGTGGAATGAATCGTTTTGAACGTTTTGAACTGATAACCTTTTTAATGCTTTTGTTGTTTACCGCAATAATATGTTGTTTACTAATGCACCTTAAAAAAATATCCTTCTAAACATGAATGAAAACAGTGAAAAGGGAACATCATTTTTTCTACACAAAAAAGATAAAGACCCAACTTCAGTGTGGTCACATTATTTGAAGTCTGCGGATAATTTGGCAGCAAAATGTAAGAAATGTGGTGTAATTTTGTATTGATGTTTTAAAAACACGTCTAAAGGAGCATAATGTTAATATTGATACAGACATTGTTGCTATTGTTACGGATGCTCCAAATGTAATGGTTTGTGTGGGAAAAATTATTGAGGCTGAACACCAGTTGTATTTAGTCTATGGAATTCACCTTTCAGTTTGTGATGTTCTTTATAAAAAAAGTTCTACGCCAATATCCGACACCGAAGCACCATTGAAGGAAACTCAAGATATTGTTGATGAAACAGATGATCACGAAGATGAAGAAAATATCGACGAGGAAATGGGATTAGGCTTTCTTCCCCCAACAAATGATGGGATAGCAAATATGGATTTACTCACCAATGAACAAAATATCAATGAACTAGTGAAAAAAGCCCGTAAGGTAGTTGTTCATTTTAAACAATCCCCGACAAAAAATGATGCAGTCTTGCAAAAATATGTCAAAGAAGAGAAACGTAGCAAGCTTTCGCTCATTTTGGATTGCAAAACAAGATGGAACTCTCTTCTATCGATGCTAGAGCGTTTCCTTGCTTTAAAAATATGTATACAGAAAGCTTTGATTGACTTAAACCACCCAGTTTCCTTAAACGAAAGTGATTTTGTGGTTCTTTCGGAAATAATAGAAGTACTTGCACCTGTCAAATTAGCAGTAGATGCGTTATGAAGACGAGATGCTAATCTATGCACTGCAGATGCAGTACTTATATTTTTATTCCAGCAGATTGCTCAAAAACAATCTCCCTTTGCTAATAAAATGTTCCAAGCTATAAAAACAAGAATGGAAAAAAGACGATGTGAAGAAATTTTGTTTTACATTTATTATTTAGCTACCATTTATTTATAAATATAAAATAAAGATTTTCTTTAATTTTTGTCTCTCAATATTAACAAACAACTTATTATGTTATTTTTTACAAAGTAGCTTGTTGCTACAGCAGCTACATCAGTACCCAAATTTAAGAAAATTTATGTTTACAAATTTATTTTGAAATTTTGATTGTTTAGTTACTTTAGTCAAATACACTTTAAATGTTCAAATGTTATTTACATATCCAATTATTTGATGAAGGTTATTCTGTAAAGTCTGTAATCTTAAAACATAATATGGAAGGTACTGTATATATATTTCTGCATTATTTTAAGATCTTTATATACACCTGCTGCCTGTTACACAATTAAAACAATTTAAAGCGCCGTAGAAAATTAATGTAAGTTATTAAAACATAATGAAATTAAATAAAGAATTGATAACATCAAAAAGTATATTCATATATGCAGTATTAAGTTCTGTTTTTTAGCAAATAACTCACATTATATAAAATCCCGGGATACCGGGATTTTATTTACTTCAATCCCGAAATCCCGGGATCGTAATTCATGCCCGGGATTGCAATCCCTAGTCTAAAGTCATTATAACGTATCTTAAAAACGGTTTCTAAATAAAGCTACAACTAAAAACTCATATTTATAAAAATTCAAAGTTCAATACAATTCAGTATTACTATTTTTTTCTGTAATTTATATATTTTGGTTTTAGCAAAAGATGCATGTGGTAAATTCCAGTTTAAAAGCACTGAAACCACAAAATTGAATTTATTGAGATACGTATTAATGACTTTAGAACGAATATTTATAATAACGTCTTGACAAATAAATAAAAAATTGTTACCGAGCATGGTAGCGGATTTAATATACTCAACCGCGCTAATGTTTTGAGATTTTTGGAAAACGTTATTTTCAAATTGAATATCTTTTATGTTTACCCCGAGCTTGTAAGAAAGTAATTCATCTGTTTTAAATTTTTTAAACACATTTTGAAACGGTTAATTTTTTAAATTTCATATTGTACAGATAGGAAACGACTTATCAAACTCGTTTTCGTAATGCTAAAAGACTTAAATTCGTTATAAATAAATTATTTTCGAGAAAGTAAGTCCTTTGGTTGATTTAGTTACTAAATGAATGTTATTTTAGAATAAAACTTAATTATCTTACAACGAGAAAATAGTCCATGTGGAGTCCATACTTAAAAAACATTTCACTTTGATAAAATATTCAAATTATAAAATTCCATCTCAATATGTAAAAGCGCTAACAAACAAGTAAAAATTAATACAACAATATTTCTGTAATTTGCTGTAGAAAAATCTAACAATATATAAAAAAAATCTAATAATATTCGAAAAACAGTACAAATTGTTGGAACAAATCAAATATCAAAAAAATTGAATAGTAAGAACCCAATATTATGCATAAAAAAGTGCAAAGTTTTAGTTTCTAAACAAATCTTTTCTAATTTCAATTGTGCAGAAACTCAAATTTTTTAATTCCTATCGTCCAGAGATTCAAAATTTCTAATTGTTATTGTCAAGAGGTTTATATTTTCTAATCGCTATCGTCTAGAGATTCATATTTTCTAATTGCTATCGTCCAGAGGTTCATATTTTCTAATTGCTATCGTCCAGAGGTTCATATATTCTAATTGTTATGGTTTAAAGATTTAAATTATCCGTCGGAAATGAAGAAAATTAGCACTTTGAATTTGCCTAAAAAGTAAATAATGATTCAGACATATTTATCAAAAAACATATTTAAAACATGAGGAAAAAGAAAGAGAATATTTTGGCAGTAGGACTTTATTAAAAATAAATTTAAAGTTATTTTCGAACATAAATATGCAGAAAAAAAAAAAAAAAAAAAAAGAGCTTATTTCAAAAAAACTTTGATTTTTATTGCATAATTTTTAAAAATTCAAATTTTTTCACCTATAAAAAAATTCGAATTGAAAAAAAAAATGTAATAGATAATTAAACATTTAGTGCTATTCACAAATATTATTTGCAAAAACATTTATTACAAAAATGACACTAAAAAGTTACAAAGATGCTGGGCTCTTTCAGAAATTCCATTTGCTGGCAGAATAGCTATTTTTGAACTGTTTGCTTTATGGTATTAATCAATGAAAGGATCTGAATGGCACAAAAGGCAATGAAACACATCCAAACTAGTATTTTTTCTGTCACATTTTCTAGTAAAGCACTCGCAGTATTTTTTAAAGTATTTATTTGAGGCTTCTTAGGTTTCCACGGACAGCACAGGGCTAAGAGGTAAGCTAAAAAATTCTACTACTAGATGTCCATGAATCAGAACTTTATGTCATGTCTATGACATAGGATACCATTTATATAACTGTGTATACAACTCTGCAGTCTCGAAACAATATTTTTTAAGTTTTTGAGATTCAATATCAAATCCAGATGACTTCTCTGACAATATTGCATGCAGTCTTCTGATCAGAACAAGACTAACAACTATTATTTCAGCAGGTATTTCAGCTTGCTGAAATACACGACGCGAAGTGTTCCCATCATTTGAGGTAACAGCGTACTAGAACCCGGCTGGTCTAAAATAAGACTTGTTTCATTTCGGAATGCAACTTGTATTTCCTTCATTCTGATGGTTTTAGCTTTATCATCTACATTTCTTGCTTGCCATTTCTCAATTAGAATCTTGTTGATATGTAAATGTAGTAAACAGCCAGGCATGAATCCAGGCTGCCATTCTGCAGATTCTCATTTTTCACTTCTTTTTTTAAAATATGAAAGAAAGTTGTAGCATGGGAAATGATGGTCTGCACTTTCCCATCAATCATAGTGATATCTTTATTGTTATACACATCCTCTTTATGTCCAGCAATTGTCATTTTAGAAACTAGGAATGAGTTGATGTCATCTTTAATTGACTCATATTCTGCTATGACCACTTCCTTTGTTTCTTTCATGTATTTAACCAAACATGTCTGCAATAAGTAGGCGACAAAGGTTTGTGATTCCTCAAAACAAACAGCTGCTTGGCATCTTTTTAAAAGTATAAATCTAATGGCACAAAGCATGTAATAAAGATATTTTATTCGTTAAATTCCTGCCAGTCTCATCTGTTCCTGCCTGCTTATACACTGACTTCATCGGTTTTAGCATCATTATCACTCTCATATGTACCTGCCTGCTTATACACTGAATTCATCAGCTTCAGCATCATCATCACCCTCATATGTACCTGCCTGCTTACACACTGACTTCATCGGCTTCAGCATCATCATCACCCTCATATGTACCTGCCTGCTTATACATTTTTTTCGTTTTATAGTTAAAAATTAGACAAAAAAGAAAAATTTATATTAAATTTATTATTATTTCTGAAGACTATACAAAAATATATAAAAATATATACATTTAGATATATAAAACATAAATCACTTGACACCTACTCACGCTAACCTTGTAAACAACTATTTCATAACAATAATTAAAACCAGATTATATTGAAAATTATTATTAATTAATCAGTAATACTTATATACAGTAATATTTATTAGTAATTTTTAACAAATAATATTAATAGCCATTAATACTAATAATTAGATTCTTGCTGATTACTTTTTTAGAAATAGTTTTGTTGCTATTGTTTTAAAGAATTTTAAATTTTTTCGGTTGGTGGTTCCCAAAAACCATCATTCCAATAATTGATTGTATCTTTACACAATCATGAAACAATCGATTTTTAAGTAAGCGTGATTTAATATGACTTAATATACTTAAATAAAATAATTACTCCTAATTAAGTCTTAGAGGAAACATCTAATACACCACAAATCAATATGGTATCTGATGGTGGTATATTGACACAGTTTATTATACATCCTATGGATATATAATAGATAGCTCCAAATTATCAATATTGATGTTTTAAAAAATTAATTTCTTAGGTTTTTTATGTTTTGATTTTCAATTTGTAGATTCTATATAACCAGAGACGATTTTATGGGTGAGTGTGTGTGATGGAGGGGGTTGAGAGATGGCTGTGACACTCCTTCAAAGAAGGTGATTTTTAAGTTATAGTCAGTTTATATTAAGTTTATATTATATTTCCTACGTATTAAAAACTAATAATTATTATTAAAAGAATAAAATTTCAAAAACTTGTTGAAATTTTGTCTATGAACCAATAGAAAAATGTTAAATTTGAACTTGCAAAGTTGTTTTGTTAGATATTTTTTGATTAAATAGAGTTGAAAAAACACACAAGTAGGAAAACCAAAATTTCAACTTAGTTTGCAAAACCTAGTCTGTAAAGTACTAGTAAAAAGGCCAGGGTCATGTATTGATAAACAGAGCACATAAGTGGATCCTAGGGGAATGACTTTTAATCATTTAAATTATCTTACAATAGAAATGATAGCGTAAGCAGGGGTGACTTTGACACCACATACGAATTATTGAAAATGATGTGTCTCATCATCATTGAATCTTCAATGATGACGAGTCACTGCAAATTATGAAATATGGTGTTGATGAGACTTTAACAGGTCCGGTATATGCAAAGTAAGGCAAACAGTACTTAATTATACAAAGAGAAAACAGGGAATGGGTTGCTATATCTACCCATTTGTCTCATTTTCGGGTGATACTTGTGCGTGCCAAGTCATGATTTCAATAAGAAGTCATATTGTACCACAAGTAGCTGCAGAAAAAATGTCACCTTGTTAAACAGTTACAACTTTTTTGGTTTTTCATTTTAATGCAAATAAATAAGCTAATAAAAAACTATTGAAAACACTTTAATTCATGTCGAAAAAAATGCCTTTTTCAAAGAAATTCCTAATATTTTTGATCTGATTTTTGTCATCAAGTCATTTGCACTCACACACACACACACACACACACACACACACACACACAGATATATATATATATATATATATATATATATATATATAAATATATATATATATATATATATAAATATATATATATATATATATATATATATATATAAAAATTCAATAAAAAAGGTGTTATGACAATGAACAAAAAGAAATAAAACCAAATAAAAAATAAGAAAATATGTTAACATTTGATTTTATCAATGTTAACACTTAACGTTTTTAACATTCAAATCAAAATCTTTTTTACAATAATCAAATAAACAACAACAACAAAAAATCTCACAGACCGTTAAATGTACAGCATCCAGATTAGAATCCTGTAAAGCATCTTCACTTTTTTTGATTTTCTTTGAACTGATAAGACTCTAAATAAGTATACCATAAATCATAAAAATCAATTGTTAAAAACTGGTACTATATGTGAGTGTGTGTGTGAGTGTGTGTTTGTGTGTGTATATATATATATATATATATATATATATATACACAAAGAAATAAAAATAATGAAAATGACTTATACCAACTTATTTAAATAACTAACAAATAACTAAAATAACTTATGATAAGTAACCCAAATACAACCATGAAATTATTATTTCATAGTTATTTTAGATTATTTTAAATAAGCCATAAATATTGACAAGACAAAATTACACTAAACCAGATCATTACAGAAAGCCAAAAAAATCTGACATATCTGAATTTAAGGAAGTCCACAGTGGGCCCAACAGCTGTTTTCACGGACATTTGTTAAAATCTCTTGAATGGAAAATGCTATGGGGATGATTGAGGACATTTTAGAAAGGTTTTTATATTTTAATATTGGAAAGAATAAAATAAAAAATGGCTGTAGGATAGTTAGGTTATAGTTTGATAGAAAAAAATATATAAAATTTCATAAAACCTGCTTTTTTACTGGGTATGACAAAATTACATAAAAATGAATATACAAATATGTATCTATATTTTGTATTACAAAAATAACATAAGATATAATTTTTTAATACATAAAAATGTTGCATGATATTGAATAGGCAACTGTGCTATAATCAAATTCCTGTTACATTTCTTGTGCAATAGTTCTCTTACTATATTGCCTGTTGTTGTTGTTCCCCTCTTTCCAGTTGTATCAGGATAGTCCCATTTTATACCAGTTTTTTTTCAAAATCTCTGATTGTAATAAGGTCTTTACTTGCTTCAGAATTCTATTATATAGGACCCATAGGAGACTCAGACCAATAAAAAACACCAGCTTCCACGTGTACAACAGTCTTTGTGAAATGATCAAATGTACGCAGTAAACCATGCAGAACCTATTAAAAAAAAAATTGAATCATCAAAAATTAACTATACAGAATAAAAAATATATATATTTTTTTTACAAGATAGCAACTTACTTGTATAGGCTTTACATCACAGGTTGGAATTGGTTAAAAAAAGTTTGTCCAACACTTTTGGTATAATCATTTTTCTTTTTAAGTAAAGAACCATTTCATTCATAGTTTTAATTTCTCAACTGATTACAAAACCATTTTAAATCCTTTCAACATCCAAACACTGATCTTTTAAGCATGTGCACAAATACAATATAAATACAAATGCACCTCCAACTCCTAAGTAAAGATTTGCTGCTTCATATATGACTACACTATAACCTTTACATTTAATTATTTTTTCCCTTTATATATAAACAAACCTTTACTTTTTAATACTTCATGTCTGTTAATATGTCTGAATTAAAGACATTAGAGAATTAAAAAGTCAACTTATCCCTCTTTGAAAAATCTAGCAATTATTTATATATATAGACCTAAACCTCAAAAATGTACATTATAAACAGTATAAAAATATTAACAATAATTATCAATTAAAAACTAATTAAATTGTTAACCATGCAAACGTCACCAAAAGTTCTAAAGCTTTTCACCATGGAATTATACAATACGCATGTGTGTATGTTTGTATTAACTATGATTCTAAATCTAGTAAATTTCTTAGCTTTAAAACATATATAATTGTTGCAATATATTTTTTTAAATAAAGGTTGAACTAATTTGATGAAATTTGATCAAAAATAGAAATTCAAAAGAAAAGAAGGCGAGAGGGGGGGGGGCATTTTCATTATTTTTATTTCTTTTCGTTTTTTAGACACAATTCTTTACTAAACATATCTTCACATTCAAAAAATTTGAACAAAATATTTTGAATTAACATTTTAAAATATTTTTTACAATAATATAAGTTCAAAGGTAGGGGTCATTCTTTTAGTTTTTTGTTTAAAAGTGCTAAGTTGGTGCAGTTTAGTCAAAAAGCATTACATTCCTCTTTGTCATAGCTGTTTAAATATATATGGGTTTACTAGTGCCAACTTAGCACTTTTTGAGATAAATTATTTTATCTGATAAAATATTAGTAAAAAAACAAACAAACTTGGCTAAATTTTAGTCAATTCGTGAGGTATTACATTAAAAAAAATTAAATAACCTATATAATTAACATTCAATTTTTTAAAACCTGCAGTCTAAGTATGTTTTTATATACAATTATAACAGTTGTACTGTTTATATATTGATATTTATTCATATATTTAGGTAATTATGACTTATATGTTTGTTTATATCTTTCACAAAGAAATTGTCTTCTTAAAAAAACATTATTTCTAAACCAATCATGCTTTTACAATAGTTATTTTTTTTTTTTTGATGAACTAGAAATTTATTTGGCTTTCAATAAAAACTATTTTATTTTATTTTGGTAACATTGATTTTTGAACCTTGTTCGCTGTTTGGCCCACTGTGCAATCTCGGTTTAACCCAACTGATTTATTTCTGACAGAAAATATTTCATATCATTGAACGCTCTGTATGCCTCTCACATTCCAAAACAAGAACCTTGGCAAACAAGACAGCTGCACATAAAAACAAGTTAGGCAAGATATCCTTAGATAAGATAAGTTAGGCAAGATATATTTAATTATACACTATAAAAACTATAAAAATGAAAATGGTAATAAATTGTAGGAAGATTATTATTTAAAAACAAAACAGGATACATAGTCTTTAAATAAATTGGATCCTGTCTTTTAAATCACATGGTATGGAAAAAAAGACATATATACTTCAAACCAATACACAATCTCTTTCACAGGTTCTACCATATATTCTTAACTTAAGACTCTATCTGCAATAAAATTCTACAAATAAGTCCTAGACAGCAAATTAACTGAATTATTGAATGACTTTTAAATCATTGAATTATAAATACTTGTTTGCTTTTTTACATTTTGTTTAATATTGAGAAATCATTTTGATGTTGCCTTAAAACAGGGGCAACTCTACAGTGTGTGTGTGTTTGTGTATGAATTTAAGGTCATCAGTGATAATCTTTCACAGTGCATATAAAACCAGTAGTAGCATAAATTACATTCAATTAAGGTATCTTTTGTATTTATTAAAATTTTGCAGGTTTTATTTTTATGTCCAGGACAAATTTTAAAACTAATCTCTATTGAAAGATTCTCGCTGTTAATTATTGAAAGATTCCAGGTGTTTACCAAATAAAATTAACTGCAATGTACGTTGATTTTACAGAAACTTAATTTTAACTTTTTTTCAGTTTATATTATTTATTTAAATATAGTTATTAAATTTTCCTGATAATATATATAACATTACATAACTTTTTGATTATCTTCAATGGTAAAAAAAGTAAAACCGTAAATGTTTCTATACTTAGTTATAAAATGTCTTTTTTATGTGACACTCTAACTTCAAATTAATTAAACAGATAAAAAATCAAATCAACTAACATTGAAATAAAAACTACAAGAGAATAAATTGAATATGCTAAAACCCTCTATTAATATATATGGCAATTAGGTGTGAGTGTATTCTTCAACTATTATAAGTAAAAATTATATTATAAAACAATATTATAATATGTAGATATAGGAATGTATTTTGCAATTGAAAAAAAAAACCTAAACCAAAATTTACTCTAAGCGCACCGCAACAGAAATAATAAAAGAAATGAAGATTATAGAAGAAATGAAAATGATGTAATGATGAGAGGACTAGAGAAAAAAGGTATATATTAGAAGAGCAAAGAAAGACAAGAAATGGTAGTGTAACAAGAAATAATAAAAAATACAATAAGAAATAATAACTTTCAATGCAAAAAAAAAAGAGAAAAGAAAAGCGAAAACTTACGGCTAACAAAAAACATGTTGTATATATTCAAAAGCTTGATCAGGGAAAAAAAAAATTTGACCCCCTAAAGGCAGCTAAATTCGACCCCTTGAGAATCTTAAATTTATCAGCTTTGTTACAATCTTATAGTCTAATTGCAATATTCATTAATATATTATTTCAATTAGAAGGCAGCTGAAGGCATTAAAACTTTATGGGAATTTTTTCACTTTATTTGAACAAATATTAAAAAGCAACTTTTTTTTGCTACTATGTGCAGTTAAGGCGATTTACAAAATATTCAAATACTTTTATCTGGAATTAGCATGGTTTTGTCAGCATATTATGTCTAAACAAGATATTTAAATGTTAAAATTTTTTTTGCTTAGGGTTTTTATAATATTTTAAAAAACTTTTATTTTTTTAATATAATTTTAAAAACCTTTTTACTACCCGTAATAGTGAAACTAAACAATAATTATTTGGTGTCTTTAGATCAATTCCGTTCATTGGTATTAACATGAATTTAGTTTAAATCTTTTGAAAACGTTTCTTAAGTTACTACTGATCTAATTTACTTCTAATTGGTTCTGACGTATATTAACTATAAATAGTTTTCAAAACACAATATTTCTATCAATTTTCACAAAAAATACTAGAATTCTGACCATGAAAGAGCTTATAATTATGGAAAATTGCCAATAAACAATCAGAACTGATCATATTATTAAACTATAATGTTCATTTCACCTAAAAAATGTATTAATATAAAATCTTATTCAAATTTGGAAAAGCGATTTTAATTTTAAGATGATTTAAAAAAAATAAAAGAATCTTCGGTCTGGGGTTTTTTGGTACAAACAATTATATTTTATGATAACGCAAAAGCTATCATTTTAATATTTTTTGTCTTTTTATAATTCACAGACAAGACCATTTAACAAAAATATGTTGTAGTCAACAAAATATTATATATACGCTATAATATTTTAAAATTGCCTTAACTACACCAAGTAATAATATATATCTTTTTTTTTTTTTTTTATTTCACCTTTCCAAGGCCGAGAAGGCCACTACAGACAAAGAGGCTACTAAATTGTGGTTATATCTAAGGATTTCTTATATATTTTGATCACTTAAATTCATAAAATGTGCAATTTCATTTTGTCTAGCTTTTA